TCAGCAGTGTGTAACATGGGTAGATGAACTTCTTGCCATAACTCACGTTCAATGTGTACCAAGGCTGAACCCTTTACTTCATAGGTTCTCTGAACAAAATGAGGGGCAGAGAAAGACAAAACCCAAGGGCTTTGAGTTTCCTGATTAATTCAGGCTTCCTTGGGTTAATTCACCTGACAGGTTATTTTCTTAGGACTATTTCCCAAGAACTCCATGTCTTTGTCTACCCCATCATTTTCTCTGCCCTTTGTGGATGACTTTGACTACTTCTGGGAGCCTCACAGTTTGTTTATGGAGGTATAACTTGTCTCTTGTTGGCTGAGAACCATTAACAAAATTGGATTATTTCCTTTGAGTTTATTTGCAGGATGAAGTAAGGGGATAATAGTGTATTGTTTATGAGAAACTCTACTTCTTGGCAAGTGAGATGCCTTTGATTTTAGTTTTTACTTGTATATTTTCTCATGAATGTGTACTTATCCACTTTTTATACTAACTCAAAGGGAATGGCAATTGCGTTTATGTTTGGGTATGTTGAATTGAGACGAGGAAGTAGAGGCCACTATGAGAGGGATCTCTGTATGTATCTCTGATGTAATATATTGTATGTTATAAGAGGACATTTGTCCTGGGAAGCTTTCCTGGAGGTTTGCTGGTATTTTGGTGAGTCTTTGAGTTGATTACATGGACTATGTTTTTCCAAGATACAGAGCTCGATTCATTAACGTCTCTATTATTGATGCTATTGTATAGTGTAGTGCTTTAAAAGAATGACTGGTTTACTTCTCATCCAAAAATGAAAACACAAGAGAGACCATCTTTCAAAGATAACAACAGGAAATAGCATGAATTAGCTAACATTGTGTAACCCTGCCCTTCATCTCCCATCTCTGTCAGGGTATTTTGGATGATGAACATTTGATGCGGAGTTTGATGATATGCTTGTATCCTTACATTTTCTCAATGTGAATGAATATTTTTCTCGAAATAACCCTACCCTATGAAGTGTTCTACTTGTACAGATAAGGAAGTTGAGGCATGAATGGTCTTTGTTGACTGTTCTGGTCCTAATGGGTCTTACAGATTTCCTAGATTCATCTTATTTAGAGTCCTGGAAACTTCTGAGGGTAATCAGGGACTCTAATTACACCCTGTCTCCCCTGCCATGGGCTGGGGTTGTGGCTTAGTGGTAGAGCACTTGCCTAGCACATGTGAGGGACTGAGTTTGATCCTCAGCACCACATAGAAATAAATAAAATAAAGGTATTGTGTCCCTCTGCACTAAACAAAATAAAACAAAATACCCCCGGGACTGGCCTGTGGCTAAAATTCTAAACATTTATACTGTGGCATCTTGCTTGGTAGGAATCTTTTTTTCCTCCCTGTGGAGCTCTATGATTTGGGCTGGAAAAATTTCCATATGTTCCCACTACTTGAGCCATCTTGAGTTTTTGCTCTGGCATTTCTGGGTTCTCTTCCTGGCCCTGGGACCACTGTAGGACATTATTTGGTCACTGGCATATGTTTATGGTTCTAGTACTGGATTTTTCTTTAAAGTAAAATGTAAAATTTCTTAGAAAATGACCAGAATTTAAGGAAGAGCTTTTGGGTATGTTTTCACACAGCTCAGTGGGCATGTGAAGTGTTGAGTGAATATCTGGAAAACAGGCCAGAGCTTGGCTTTCAGGGTTGGGTGCTCTGGAGTGTCTCCAGCAGTTCCTGTGTGGACATCACCTGGGCTGGGGACATGCTTTTACTGAGCCTGTTTGTAAAGAACTCTCTAAAGGTGCTTTTGGTTTTTCTGCACTTCCTACAGCAGCTATATTTCTATATTTAAAATGATTTTAAAATAGAGAGCTAGGAGTCCTATAAATCAAAGAAATTAATTTTAGGACAGAAGAAAGCAACAAGTCCTGTAATGTCCCGCTCTCATCATCTACCAACCTGAAATCAGTGGGGGAAGGATGGTGTGTGTGCTGAGGTGGCGATGGCACCCTCCCAGAGGGACGGGAGACAGCACAGTGGGGAAGAGCAAGGCTTTGGCTACAGTCACACTGCCTAGGCGTGAATCTTGGTCCCACCAGATGGGTGACTTGAGCTTTTCTGGGCATTTATTTACCTCTGTGAACATGGGGATACTCATAGGGTTGATGTGAAGATTAAATGTAGTACTCTATAAAGGTTAGCCTCGATTAACAGTCTATATTCACAGTTTCATCATGCAGATGCTTGACACCGCACACACACCCCTGATGATAGGAAGTCTGACCTGAGGAGAGGGGTCTTCCACACCTAAGTCATCTGTCCCAGGATACCACATATGGCTGTAAATGAGATGACAGGCTTAGCCTGGATGTGTGCCTGTATACCATTGCAGCGCCTCTGGGTTCATTTAGAGAGTTGGTCCTTCCAGATATAGGCCCTGAGCTTCCTATGCAAAGCTGAAAACTGCAATCTTTCTATTTTAGCCAGATGTGCATAACTGGCTGGGAACCACCAAATTGACAGGGACTTTTCTTCATCCCCAGTATAAAACATGATGGGAAGGCTGAGCTTAACAGAGACTCGGACAACAAGATTTAAATAAATAAGCTGTATTATCTGTACAAAAAAAAATATAAATACAGTTTTGTGTTTTAGAGGAGGAAGTGCCTCCTTCCACATTATCCAGCAGCCCTAATAATCTGCGGTACTGCTGAGTCACGATTCACAGAACAAACATTACATGTACATTCATCTCATGCAAGGAGCACACTCTTCCCACCCCACACCTAGGCTCTCCAGCTCGATCTGAAACCCATTTCCAACTCCTCACCCTGACATGTGGTGGAGCTGGAAGACAGCTGTTTTTTTTTTAAAGGAAATGTAAATATTGGCTGCCAATTTTCAATATCTGTTGAACTAGATGTAATCAACCACGTGAGTCCTATGGAAGAAGTCTTTACCATTCTATAAAACACTCCTGTGACACAAATGAATCACCTGTTGCCCCAGCATCCCGTGTTAGCTTTTACAAAGTATTCTGTACAAAGTGAATAATGGATCCAGAGTTAAACACCAGCTTCTATTAAAAAAAGGAAAAATACAATGATCACCACTGAATTTACAGGAACACAGCTGTAGGAAGTTAATAACAAAAAAAAAATCTCCCAATATTTTTTTTTTCTGGATGACAATGTACAATTATTAATATTGCACTTTTTTATACAAGAAATCCTAATAAATATTCACAAAAGATATACATAGAAAACATTCTCTTTTATTTTAAATAAACATTACATTGATCTTTAGTAACATGATTTCTTAGAGCCTATGTTTGTGGTGAGGAATTAAAAGACCCACCCTAATTGTCCACAGCTCACCTAGAGAGGACACAGATTAATATTGTCTTCCTCCCAAATTTTACTTTACAGGCTGGATGGGAAATGCAGCCTTGATGTCAGTGGTGGCCCTGGGGTGAGTGGCATCCCACAAGTGTGTGAGGGGTGGCTTATCTGAGGCTGCCCAGCCTACTAAACTGGGGCCCTTCAGCGGGAGAAGGAAGGAAAAAAAAATCACTCGCCCAAAGCTGTCCTGCTGAATGAGCAATTGGCTGAATAGTCCTAAAGTGTGTTTGCTGCCGGACTTGGCTGTGGCCGTCTCAACACAGCTGATAGGTGTTGCTGCAGTGCGTGAGATGCTCCAGCTGATAAGTGTTAATTGCCTTGGGTTTGGAGTGTTCCCCATATGGGGAGGGTGGGTTGAAAAGCCTTTCAGGACCTTCTTGGAGTCTAGAGCTATCCTTTGGCTTTGCCACAGCTCTTCATCCCCCCACCCCAACCTGCCACATAAATACTATGTATAGCAGCTTTTGTGCTCTGTCAGGCACCCACAGCCCCTGGAGTTGGCTGCTGGATTAGGCAGAGTGTACCACAGTCACCTGCAAACCCACTGTCCCACCCTGTTCCCTGGTCAGCTCAGGAAGGAAATGGTTGCCACAGCCTGATACTCACTCTCTGGCAAATGGATGTATGAATTGACTTTTACAAAGGGACCCCAATCCTTGGCCCTTAGGTGGAGTAGCAAAGACCATTTAGGCAGAAAACCTGGCCTACTCCTGCTCAGAATATGCCCCAGGCCCACAGTAGTTGGTAGTTCAAGGCTGGGGGCTCTTGATTTCAAAGAAGAGATGCTGGGCAGACTTACTGCCCAGCCAGGTGTTGACCTCTGGCCGGCTTTGTTGCAGCTGCATAAGTGGACAGTTCACTCAGATAGTGTTGGGAGTGGGCACTCTCCCTACCTCCCCCTGTGAGGGACAGGTCTCCTTCCATGCAGCAAGGGCACTCTGAGGGAAGCAGAGCTCTGCCCATCCTCCTGAACCTTCACTGAACCTGCCAGGTGCTCTGGAGTTCAGAGCCTGTGACATGAGCAGACACAGGCTTCTGTTCATGCTCTTCCTTCCCTTCCTGGGTCAGTTCCTGCATCACTGTGATTGTCTCCTTTACCACTACCTATCCCTGTGTTTGAGTTCTCTATGGGAGGAGAAGAGCCAGTTCTGGTTGGCTTCTGCCTCAGATGGTCCTTATCACCACTGAGGGGTTGGGGGTGGGTAGAGGAGGAGACAAAGAATCAACACCACATCAATAATGCTGGTTGTCTGATGTTTGCACCAATTCTTTATCAACCCTGTGGTTCCCTGCTGTTCCCAGGGGCCCTGGCTTTCTCTTTCTAGGCCTCTCTGAGAACCAGGTTGGAGGGAGTCGGCCCTGTAAGGGAGTGGCTGCTGTCTGCCTGGCCTGCTCTGCAGCCTCCTTTTGACATCTGTCCTTTTCTTTTCCCAATGTTCTGTCCTCCAGCTAACTGAAAGAGAAAACATGCTGAGGTCCTCAGGGGGGAGGGCGGAGGTGGGGGTGAGGGGAGGGAGGGGGAAATAAATAAATAAAACAAAGCTTAAGTTCTGTCCCAGGTGGTTGCGTGAGTCCTTTGTGTGGCCAGGGAGAGTTCTTCCCCGTGCCCTGTCTTCACGCTTTGCCACAAGTTCCGCAGCAGCGGGATTTGAACTGGCTGAGTTGGCAGAGCTTCAGCTGCTTCACCTTCTCGCAGTACCTGGTGGTGTCTCTGCACTCCACTGGGAAAGGAGGGGGTGGGGAGGGGACAGAAAGGAGATGTGAAACAGAGGCTAACTGGCATTTGGCTGCTGGGGTCTGCCGTGGCCACTGCGCTCCATCCCTCTGGGTGTCTCTCACTCTGGTAGAGCTCAGCTACTTGCCTCCCAGGCTGCCAACGGCAGGGCCAGCACCAGCCTGCAGTCCTCTGGCTGAATGATGGGACCCATTCCTGGGCCCTCTTTGCCTTTCATAGTTGCCTCTACTTCCTGTCTCTTCCCTCCTTTTGGGACTACCTCACTTCCTTGCTTGCTTTTCCCCAGGGGCTTTTGGTATTTTAGTGAGTGACTCTCCTCCCTGAGATGGTTCCCAGAAGGACTGAGTTCTGCCCCACGTGGAAGGAGATGCAGGTGAGGCTCTGGCTGGAAACCTTTATCCCCAAGGCACTGGGACCTTACTTTCTCTGTTAAGTTTGTTTTCATGTATTCTCTGCCTAAGATTCTTGTTCTTTCTACCCACCAGGCCTTAAACACAACACCATGGTGTTCCAGCTCAGTATTGGTACAGATTATTGTTTTTAATCACTGGTGCTGATTTGACCTGGGAAGCCAGTCTGAGCTACTTGCATTCCACTCTGGTACTCTCTGCACACGGTGAGAGAATGACACCAACGTGGGTCAGCACTTCACCAAAGATCATGCATCCCCAGTGCATCATAAGGAAAGGGTTGTGTGTTCACAGGGGATCTGCCTTAATGTTGTGAATCCATTGCTTAGTGAAGGTCGGTTGGGGGGAAAACGGAATTCAGCCACATTTGTTTATTTCTTTTTCTTTTTTTTTGGTCCTTGTCAGAAAATGTCTCCAATTTGGGTTTTGGATTCAGAGGAAGAAAAAAAGAATAAGATTCCAGAATAAGATTCCTACCCAGTTGGAACACAAATGCTGATGCTGAGTTGAGGAGACTCCAGACTTGAGAGGAGAGGGAGTGAAATGAGTGTCAAATGCCAAGGGTCTGGGCTCTGCTCAGTTTCGGTGGATGCCCAGGGTGGGAGAGGAGGGAGATGATCAGCAGGTTCTTGTTCCATGAGAAGCAAAACAACGATGGGTGGGGAGCCAGTGGCTGAGTGGGAAGCACTCTGTGCTGCTTCAGTGTTAACAGTGCTTTCTCTAGCAGCCGGGCTCCTGACTGCCATTGTTTAGTTGTCCCCTCTGGGCATCAGCCGGTCTGCAGGTGAGCTAGAGGCCAATTTTACCCAGCAGTTGGCCAACAATACTTGGCCATCTCTGGACCAGGATGAAGATAGTGATAGCCCCTGGGGCACACGCTGCCATTTTTGTGGCTAGGAAATGTATACACACTTCTTTACACACCCACACACCTGCCTGTAAATGCTCAACTCTGGCTCCAGCTCACAATCCTTGGGGTACCTGATCCAATGCCCTATGTTCAGGCTCAGTCCTAGGGATTGCCCTCTGTACCCGATGCCCTGTGGGGAAATTGCAGAAAGGTCTTTGGGATTGGAACATACTGTTTTCACATGGAGTGATGTTGCAGCGTTGCCAGTTGGCGGGCCGGGGCCCCCAGGAGCACAGGTGCTCAGGCACAGCCTTGTTGGTGCGGGCATGCACACACTCCACCCGCCGGGACTGGAAGCCATAGTTGCCACAGGTTGCCGTGCACAGGGTCCACAGGCTAACCCTCCAGTGTACGCTGCAGGCATCTGACCAGCAGTTCTGGGTGCTCACAGGCCTACAGGAAGAGGGTGGCAGGGTTAAGATCTGTCTCTATGGGGCCAAATGTGAAAATAATGTTCCCAAACCAGGAAGGTCAGCCAACTCCTTAAGAACTTCCATTATCACCAGACCTAGGTTCTGATCTCTGTTTTGTTACTGAATGGCCACAAAAGTCTTCTTTCCCTGACTAGTCTTCCATCTGCTCTTCTCTACAATGTCTGTGTCTGTACATGACCCAAGAAGGAGCTCTATGCCATGTGGAGGCTGGCAGAGGGAGAACTTGGACCTGTCCTCAGGGGCTGGAGTCCTACGAGAGGTGATAAGCTCTCTTCTCAGGGGACATTTACAAAGAGATGTAAGAGGGATTGGGGGCTGGATAGGAATGAAAAGTTGGTATCCAGAATACGGCACCTCATCTCAGCCTCACTTCTAGAGAGAACTCAACAAGAATGAGGAGCTGGCGGAGCCCTGGAGGTCCAGTAGCCACCAGGTAGACCTTGCTTCTTTGCCTGCCTTGGAATTAAGGCAGCATCCCCCAGCTCTGAGAAAAACATCCCTGCATGCTTCATCCTCCTGAGAGGAAAACCCAGCCTGGCCGCTTCAGTAAGCACAATATGGCCCATCGGTCTCTGGGTGGGGTCAGTGGTCTGGGTGATAGAAAGGAGCAGACAGGGCATCTGACCCTCGGCACTGTGGGAGGTTGGAGAAGAAACATCCTTTCATCACTTGTTTCTGTGCTACTGACGCAGGGGCTGAGAGAGGAGGCCCAGGGCTGCTTCTTACCTGGGAAGGGCACTGCACTGCTCTGATGGTAGGGTGATGCCATCCCGTGTCTGGCAGAAGACTTGTCTGTGTTGCACAGCTAGGCGAGGCCCGATGCAAGGCCCATTGCACTGGAAAGCAGAAAAAGGAATACATATCACGTCAGCGAAGTGCTCAATGTTCAGGCCCCAGGGGATGCAGGATTGTTTTGCAAGGTCTTATTGGAGGTCGTCAGATCATTCATCTTCTCCCTCTCTGGACCAACTAAAGGACATTCACTGGCTTGTTTTCTTTTATGCCACAGTGAGCATTTTGCTATGGGCATTTTGTTAGCAAAGGCCAGAGGAAGTGTAGAGCCAGTCCGAGAAGGCCAACCTACTTCCAGATCAACCAAATGAAAAAGCACTTGGCATTATGTGCTAGGAAAGTACTTAGAGCTGAAGACATCTAAACAAGCCCCTGTCCCCTTCTGTGTGGAGGATAACTTGGCTTATTGTTTTCTTCCTAAATTCATCCAAGTATCCATGTCCACTATTTCTTTCCTTTCCTTGGCCTTGTTTTCTGCAGGTCAAACCCAGGACACTGAACACAGACAGACTTAGGTATGTACAGTCTCTCCTTATATTCTCTTGCCATGTGCTTGCCAAGCTTTCCCCAGAGATGGCAGAACCCAGCCCTAATGCAACGAATGCCTCCAAGAACTGTATAAAATGCAAAAGAAGCAGGCCTTGAGCCAACAAATGCCACGTTAGCACAAGGGGACACACATCCCTGGAAGGTCACTTTTTATTTTTTAAAAAAGTTTGTGGAGAGTTTTATTAATAGATGCCTATTTAAAAATAAGACCTTCTGCTATAAAGGGAGAAAGGAGGCAGAAAACCAATGCACAGACAAGATAATGAGAGGAGATGCATTTTCCGTCACATTTCATGATGTCCGGGAACACCTGGAGAGGACTCCTCCAGGATATTGATGTCCTAGCATTAGTTTTTTATCGGTTCATTATAAATAATAATGGGATTGTTACATATTTGTACATACACATAATTTGGTACATTTCATTTTCCAGTATCTCCCCTTGCCCTACTCTCCTCTGTCCCCCTTCCTCCACTTCACCAGTCTCCCTTCTATTTTAATGAGAGTGGGAGGTCATTTTGGAACAAAGAATCTTAATGTAGGAGTCTTTAGATCCCTAGGGATCCACAGGGATATGAACTCTTAACATTTATGTTGAATTTTTCTAGTAAGAGGTTTCTTTCAGTTTTCGTTAGATGCTCAGAGAAATCCAGGACCACTGAAGGACAGGGACTTAAGGTAAAAGCATCCCTCTGGGGCTGACACCTCTGTCCAGGCCAGGGATTGCTCTTCCTGGCTCTGAAGGGCTCAGTTTGACAAGGTTGTTCACGAAGATATGGTTGTTGGAGGAAATGTAAAGAACACCCCTTGATACCAATGATTCAGAATTATTTTTTGTTTTATGATAAAATATAATTACAAAATTTATTGTTTTAACCATGGTAAAAAAAATAACTTCTCACTATGAAGGACAGCGTGCACGGAGAAATATGAGTGAAGCAAAGAAGTTCTCAGTGAGCTCTGACAGTGAATGGAGCCACAAGACCAGTTGCGTGGCAGAGTCATAATTCCAGAAGGGATCTTTGCTTGCTTCAGTGCTCTACTGTCAATCTTTACATTCGCTGTAGTCTGTGGAGAAGGGGCCCTGCAGTTTCATGTTGCACTGAACCCTACAAATTACGTGGCCAGTCCAGGACACAGGTGAAGAAAGTGAACACTGTAAGCAACTCAGAAGCCCCTGGAGGTTTTCTCCCTTCACTCTTTCCTCTTCTCCAAATGTACCCACTGTCAAGGCTGAATCTTTAACACAGTCAATTTTATGCCTGATTTTGAAATTTACATAAAGGAACCATATTTCATGCCTACTTTTGCATCTGGCTTCTTTTTCTCATGAAGCATCAGGTATGTAACTGAAGTACATTCATTTTCATTGATATCCAACATTTTGTTTTATAAATATACCATAATTTTGATTAATCGTCGACCCTTTTTTCAATACAGAGCCTACTTTGTCAGATATTAGTATAGACGCCCCCAACTCTCCTTTGGTTAGAATTTACATGGACTTTTAAAATTCTTTCATTTTCATTTATTTTTTCCTTAGCTCTAAATAGAGTCTCTTGTGGACAACAGAGTTGGATCATGCTCTGAATGTACTAAAACTTATTTCTTATTATGTTCTTTACCACCTTCTCACAGTTTGATTAGGGTTCCCCAGGTTTCTGTTTTGTGCCTTTTCTTCAGATCATGCTTCAAGGCGATACCACCCATGACACTAGTTATCACTTGATACTGATTACTTCCAATACACTCTGGTCAGCACAGCTCTAAGTTCCATATTCATACACCCACCTGTCTAAAGAATATCTCTAATGGAATATTTTATAAACATACTACACATTTATCACACCATCTTCATTTTCCTGTATTCCTAATTGTTCCACCAGAAATCCGAGGATCATCTTTGCTTCCTCTCTCTGACAGCCAGTGGCTCACTGAAACCATTTGAATCACACTGTCATAGTATCTCCTGTCCATTTCCACTGACCAAAGCATACATTCTGATCACCATAATTTCTTACCTACATTGGGTTTCTCTTTCTCTATTCTCGTTACTTTCCAATTCAGTCACTAAACTGCTGACAGGGTAATCTATTAAGAGTATAATCTGAGCTTGCAACTCTTGTTTAAAATCTTTCTGCTGGGGGAGGAAGACAAGCTGGCAACAGAGATGTGCCCAGCACTTGCCTCTTTCTCCACAAAGATGGACCAAAGTAACAGGTGTACAGGTACATTTTGAAGTGAGTGACCATAGAGAACAATGGAAATCATCAAGAGAGACTAGACTTGTAAGATTCAGAGGCCTGGGACAACAGCTTAGTAAAGAAACAAATTACTCTGGTATCTGTCACACTCCAATTCCTGGACCCTTATCTCTCACCCTACACAAAAAATCAATTCAAGATAGATCAAAGACCTAGGAATTAAGCCAGAAACCATGCAACTCCTACAATATACAGTCATACAGTCAACACTTCAGCTTTTAGGTATAGGACAACTTTCTCAATGGGACACCTAAAGCTCAGGAAATAATGCTAAGAGTTAATAAACAGGATGACATTAAATTAAAAAGCTTCGGCACAGCAAAGGAAACAATTATTAATGTGAAGAGAAAGCCTACAGAATGGGTGAAAATCTTTGCTAGCTACTCTTCTGGTAAAGGATTAGTATTCAGAATAAATAAAGAATCCAAAAGACTTTACACCAAAAAAATGAAATAACCCAATTAAGAAATGGCAAATATACTTCTCAAAAGAAAAAAATACAAATGGCCAACAAACATATAAAAAAAATGTTCAGTGTCATTGACAATTAGGGAAAGCAAATCAAAACTATACTGAGATTTTATCTCATACCAGTCAGAATGGCAGCCATCAAGAATACAAATAATAAATGCTGGAGAGGATGTGGAGAAAAACACTTTTACACTGTTGGTGGGATTGTAAATTAGTACAACCAGTATGGAAATCAGCACCAAGGTCCCTCAAAAGACTAGACTGGACCTCCATATGACTCAGCTAGATTACTTCTTGGTATTTGTCCTAAAGAATTAAAATCAGCACACTACAGTGATACATGCATACCCATGTTTATAACAGCACAATTCACAATAGCCAAATTATGGAATCAGCCTAGGTGTCCATCAACAGATGTATGGATAAAGGAAATGTGATATATATATATAACACATACATACACACACACACACACAAAATGAAGGATTTTTTATCCATAAAGAAAAATAATGTCATTTGCAAGAAAATGGATGGAAGTAGAGACCATTATGATAGCAAAATAAGTCAAATTCAGAATGTTAAGAGTCATGTTTTTTCTCATATATGGAAGCTTGAGAGCAAAAAGGACAAGAAAGGTGTGTGTGTGTGTGTGTGTGTGTGTGTGTGTGTGTGTGAGAGAGAGAGAGAGAGAGAGAGAGAGAGAGAGAGAGAGAGAATGAATCCCCAAATCAAAGGGAGATCAGTAGAGGAAAAGGACTAAGGGGAGGGAGGGGGAAGTGCTGGAGAGAGATTGGCCAAATGATAGTTAATTTGTGTGCATGTATGAATATGTAACAACAAATCCCATCATTATGTACAATTATAATGCACCAATAAAAATGTGAAAAAAATTAAGCATCCCAGACTCTACCCCAGGCCTATCATATTAGAATTTGCATATTTAGCAAGATCCCCAGGTGATTCATGTTAATTCTCTATGTACACTGGCCTAGGGACTTTAGAAGAAAGGATGAAGAGTTTGAGGGAAAACAATGTAGAAAAGACTTATGCGTTTTTCTCTCTGTTGGGAAGAGGAATCACTGAGAATGATCAAATACATACTCTATGTCCCCTTGAGTGACCTTGATGTCAATGCAGAAACATTTCCCATGTGTCCCCAGATCTGTTCCCAATCCCAGCTTCACAACTGCTAGTAAGCCTTAAGGACCTGGCAGCAGAGCTGTGTTATGTGAGAGCTGTCAGAAATGGGCTTTTCAAGATAAGAGAAATACCTCCCCAGCACCCCTTGCTCTAGCATAGAAGCAAGGTGGAGTTCATGTTGCTCTGAATATGAAGCACATACAGGCCAGCCCCTGGAAATAAAGGGCTGGACAGGTGTGTTGGCCGGTGGGCAGCGGGCTAAGCATTAACCCCCTGGTTTACCTGAGATACAAATGGCTAAGAGATGCAAATTTACTCTGTGGCCAGGAATGTTTGCTCTTTATATTAGAGACTGACACAGCATGTTAATGTCATAGGAAGTTGCAAGTGATTGTTTTCCAAAGATTACACCTAAGGCTGGCAGTAGAGGAACATGAATAAACCAATTCCAACAAGTTTCAAGTTACTAATTGTCCAAAAACATTGTTACATCGGTCCTACAGTAAAGTTTGTGATTTGGGGAGTGTCCCAGCTGGCTAGCCATGAAACTATACCTCAAAGTCAGAATAGTCCCTGTGCTAATGAGTGCCAGTCCAGACAAATCTGAACATCAGCCCTGGCCGGCAGCTCTTACATGCCTGCTAAGTCTCTAGAAGGGTTTGAACATAGACTTCTGGAGAAATGGTATATATTATTTCCCTTAAGCACCTCCACTCCTGATTTTCTTTGGTGCCAATAACACTGTAAAGTAGTAGAGTACAAGCTGAGTAGGTCAACTATTCTATGCTTAATAGGCCTTATATACTTGGACAGGGAAAAACCTGTCTCTCTAATGTATACTGGAGTTCTTGACTGATGCTCAGTCCCACCTGGTCCAGAAACACTAAGAGTACAGGGACCCTGTCCCTGGATTCCTACTGCCATGGTGCAATGTCCATCATTGCTTAGGATGGCTCCCCAACCCCCTGGGAATCCTCAGTTTGTGTCAATCTCCTTTTAAAAATCACAAACATAAAATTCTCACTCCAAATGGGTAGAGCCATCATGGACCCTCCACTGTACCTAGAGAAAACTCCATAACTGAGCTCCTGGGGTCAAATAAGCCCCCACTGCTGCTGTCCATTGAGCTTACCTGGGACTGAAGTCACTTCTAGGCAGATAATTGAGAAAGGAGTTGATTGTTTCATGGTGACTGAGCTAGGCTTCAAGTCTCCCTGACTCAGAACAATGGTTCTCTACCCTGTTTGTATATCAGCATCACCTGAGGAGTTTCTAAGACTCACCTAAGCTTGATCACACCCCAGAGGAATTGACCTGGGCTCCTTGGAGTTATGATCTTGACACTGGTGGTTAAAAAGGTTGCTTATAACTATGTGACCAGTGGAGAACCTTGGCCAAGAGCAGTCCGCAGAGGGGACACTGGCACAACCAGTGGGAAAAGATGGCTTGAGAGTGTGCGAGTCTGAAGAAGGTGTCTGAGGGTTCCGGGATCCAAGAACAGAAAGGCCTCAGGGTGGAGGAAGGAAATGTGTGCCTGGTAAATCAGTGTGTTAAGGTTAGAGTATGTTAAAGTTAGAGAAGGATCCAAGTGCCCTGGGTGTTAGGAATGATACAGGGTGGGATTAGGGACAGCGTGGATGTCACAGAGGAGGTGGCAGTGGAGGCATTTACTTCCCACTGTGGCAGGGTTTACACCTTTAGGATGACCTTTCAAATAAAAGCCGGTGTGGCCCTCACCTGGCCCCAGTTAGAGAAGGCCCACTCCACACACAGCTGTTGGTTACAGGCCTGGGTGTCCACAGGCCGTTTGGCTAGATGGGTACACATGTCGTTAGACACAGGAGTAGAGATCCCAGAGGCTTTCAGCTTCTGACAGGTAACTCTGCGTGTCTGGATGCCTCCGCCACAGCTCCGGGTACAGGCAGACCAGGAAGTCACCATCCACCTGGGGAGAGGAAGAAACATCAGAGGAGCCCCAAAGGTGAGGCCTGGGGAAGGAACCTTGTGCCTGTCGCCTCACAGATGTTAATTAGGGGGCCTCTTCACAGTAATTACTTGGAAAAATGACCTTCCATAAGATATCCAAGTCAAATCCCTGGAAACTGTGAGTGTTATCTTATTTGGATAAGATAAATATATGGCTGACATAATTAAGAACTTTGAGATTATCTGGGTAGGCCTTAGATGCCACCACAAGTGTTCTTCTAAGAGAGAGACAGAGGAGATTATGCACAGGGAAGAGGAGAAGGCAGTATGACCTTGAAAGTGGTGTGACCACAGAGGTAGGAGGTGGAGTCCTGCAGCCACAAACAAGGAAGGCACCAGGGGACAGGGGTGGGGCAGGAAACAGTTCAACTGTAGAGCCTTCAAGGGAGTATGGCTCTGCTGACACCTTGATTTTTTTTGGTTGCTGGCCTTCAAAACAGTGAGAGAATCAGTTTTGGTTGCTTTAAGCTACTGTTTGTGGTAATTTGTTACGGCGGCCTCAGGACAATGATACCTTGGGTCACTGACCAGAAATGTGCATCTGGAAAGAGTATTTAGAGTCAGCTGCCTTAGCTGCCCAAAAGGCTGGGAGATAGTCCTCTAGCTACTTACACTGTACTGTGGTTTTGGTACTTCCTAGTCTGTGAGCAGGAACAGTTTCCTGGGGAAGTCAGAGCCAAACCTATTACCTCCTGACCCAGGAGGTATGGGTCTCACTTAAGTGAAAGTTTTGTCTGGTAACATCTATACTTTCTATCTTACCTTAACCCATGTCCCATTTAATTTGTTTAATCTTTCAGAAACGAAGAAAATTGCTTTCTGGGGCAATTTTCCACTACCACGATGCTCTATGAGTCTTATGTATCTTAAAGGGTTGCACATGTGTTAGAAATATTTGTTTTCAGAATGTTAGGCTCCAGCTACGATTTGAGTTCTTAGAAGTGAGACTGACCAAGACTATGACAAATGGGCTTTTCTCATAAAGCCAAGCTATAATCTGGGGACACTCTGAGTTTGACCCATATACAAATATGAAGGGGGTGCTTTTTGAATGTATCCTAGGATAGTTCTCAGAGAAGGGGAAAGGGACAGTTTGTGAAAATGAGGAAAGGCGTGGTGTTGTTCAGCCACTTCATGCAATCTGAGGAGGAAAAAACAAAAACCCAAACCCCTTTTATTGCCTGATTGCAAGGGCTGGGGGCTTATCTAACATGAAATGGTGAAAATAGCTACTTGGGTCAAAGGAGGATTTCCTAGTCCTATTTAGAAAGACTTGTTTGTGTGCAAAGAAGGATGATAATGTGCCCAAATAGCCTGGCAGGAAAACCAGTGGAGGGTGAACCTATGGCACTTCCTAGCCAAGTGACGCCACATCTGGCTTTCAGGAGAGGCATGTAGTGGGAAGGGGAACAAATTCCTTCTGAGTCCGGATCTGTGACTTATTTAGTTTTGTGGCAATTTCCCTGCTCCTCTGCCCTGGAGAAGGATGACTGCATGCAGAATTTCCAGCCCACAGGAGCAGAGCCACTTAGGAAGCAGGCATGAGGTGTTTTAAAACTCCTGGGGGCATTGAAACCAAAGAAGAAATAGCCATTATTATTTCATTTGCAGAAGTAAATTAGGCTGATTGACTCTGACCATCACCAAATCAAATCAAAAAGTTCCTGGCACGTCAAAGATCTCTTCTTCATTTCACACAGCTTGGCAAGGGCAGCCTTCCAGCCCCCTAGATCCCTGGTGAATGTCAGGCCTGTATTTCAATCAACTTTTATTTCTAAATATACATTTCAGCGATTTTTTCGGGAGCTGGGGTGGGGGTTTTGAGAAAGGAGAGGTATGGGCTATGTTACCCATTCAGGAAGGGTATAAAAGGACATTAATCATTCCTGTGGAAACCTTCCCGTCAGCAAGTCAAACTGCTGATATTAATGAGTGTGTTTCATATTTCATGGAGTCTCTCCTGGTTTCAGCTGCTCCTTATGACTCAGCTGGCAAAACACAAAGCGGTTCCCTGAGCAGTGTATGAAAGTCCTACAGATAGGTCGTAAACGGGCATTTTAGGGCCAAGGCAAGTCCCTGTAGGCTCAGAGCACCATGCTGGTGCCAACTCCAAGCCCAGAGATCATACCTTTAGCTAGTTTCTTAAGACTAGGGGTTGGGTGCTCAGTGGGACTCACAGCTTCTTGAAGCATGAAGAAGATGTTGTAAGAGGCAGAGATTCTTTGTTATCCTGGGCTCTATAAGGGGCCCAAATACAGAGAATATAAATCCAAAGTTAAGGCAAGTATAGAAAATGGAGATTTATTCCAACTTTAGGGAGAGGCAACTATTTGTAGAAAAGAAGAGAGCACTGATTGCACAAGGTATTTAAAGTCACACAAAAAGAGGGTTTGGGTAGAGCCTAGTAATCCCTGTCCCCTCAGCTTGTCAATGAAAGATATTTCTTTCTCTTACAAAAATCCCAGAGAGTCAGTTTATCACTGCAGGATGGGAGATGTCTCTGACCAGAGCCTGGCGAACATATATATTCTGCTCCCTGAACAGATCAGAACCTCTTAGGCCTTTGCAAATCCCAGGTAGTTATTTGCTGGTGGACGGAAGAGGGAATAAGCAGAGCTGAGAGAGGGGGCTCATTCTGAGGATACCGTCAGCAAGGCAGAGAGGCCTGGAAAACCCCATGCCTAAAGGAAGGAATGGCTCCCTGGATTGCTTTTCTCCCTGCAAAGTGCTAGACAAGGGCTGGCCATGAACTTGGTTGTAAGTTAGGGCCCACCCTGGGAATGGGAGGCCACACTCACCGGGAAGGGCAGTCTCTCCGGTTGCAGGCAATGGGCTGCACAGCAGGGCGGGCCTTCCCCGCACAGTGAGCAGGATCCACTTCCGTGTTATTCAGTAGACACCTCAGGCGGGGCTGCTGAACACCCCTGTTGCCACAAGATGCTGAACAGGTCACCAGTCTGTCTACGGACCACCAGTAATCTGTCATAAGAGGAGGATCAGAGGTGAAGAGAGTGGAACATTACTGCCCTCACTCCATTTCTTCTGAGCAGGGCCAGGGGAAGGTGGAAGGGGGCTGGGGTTGGCATGTAGGCGGAGGGAGAAGTTCTTATAAATGAGGCTCTGCTTCTGGGTGGGCACCATTCCCAACCTATTAGGCAAGCCCCAGGGTCTCGAGGAACCTCAGATGATTCCTCCAAAAAATGACTACCATAACTCTCACGTGACCATGTTACTGTGAGGGTTGGATATGAAGAAAGTAAAGGGCCAGGCTCAGTGCTGGACACACAGAGAGGACTTACTCAACAGCCACAGCCCTTACTGTTTTTAAAATACTGACTAAAGTACTCTTACTGGTTTATGAGAAAGTAACTTTATTTTTCTACAGAGATATATAAATATATCAGAGATAATCATATTTAAAAGTAGAGATTCGAGTTGGATTTTGTAAAATTTTTCTTGATTTTTAGTTTTGTAAATGTTATAAAAAACAGCCTCTTTAGAGAGTTCTCATTTACATGAGACAATGATGTCAGTGAAAAAGCCTATTTCTCTGGTTTTTCTATTTGGTGGTCTGGGACTCAATGGTAGGAAAACTATTAAAAATACATGTGGGCTGGTAAACTCTGATTGCGTATTTGCAAGTTCTCATTGCAGATAGGCACTGGATTTTGGTTTTTAGCAGAGAATAACTGGCTGGCAAGAAAATGGAACATTTGTTTTCCTGTCTGGAAAGCAAAATGGCAGGGGTGAATTTTTAAGAGGAAAACCTATGTGCTCAGAAAAATCTTCCTTCTCTTCTCTTTCCTCCCTCCTTTTGTGCCATGTTGGCACAAAACTGACACTTCCCACAGAATCCTCCATTTTGGAATAAATGCAGTAGCATTTGACTTTCCTAAAGCATATCACATAAGGTCACAGGTAGAACTAGCCTAGGGAAAACTCAAAAGCCTTCCATAGTTTCTATAAAAAGGCTGGGTTGGGCTCTCTTCCCACCATTTTGGCTCATTCACAACTCTTCTGGTGCAGTGAATGCCAGGCCCCACCCAGGGGCTTTCTGACCTGCCTGTATTCCTGGAAAGCTCACAGATTATTCCTTGCCAGGGTCAAAGGAATGGTGCCGGGAGAGTCCTCAGCATGTGACTGCAGCCCACCACTCTCCAGAATGTGCAGCTGGCAGGACACCATCCCCTCCCCCAGCAGGAGACAATGACCATAGTGTTCTAATCAAGAGGTATTTTTTAACCCAATCAACAGGGAACATGAAATTTTAAGTAGGCTACTCTGTGGTGTGTGTGTGTGTGTGTGTGTGTGTGTGTGTGTGTGTGGTGTGTGTGTGTGTGTGTGCGTGAGAGGGAGTATGTGTGTGATCTTTTCTAGTTAAATTAGTAATTAGGAAATATAATTAACTTTGATAAATAGTTGTGTTTTCTTGGTCTTGAGCAACAGTAATATTTGATCAGAAGGACTGATTTAGGAAGGCAGCGATGCTGATGCATCCAGGATCTCCTGTGAGGGACCTGGTGGCTCTTCTGAAAGGCTCTGGTGGCAGAAGTATGGTTTCATTGCACTGAAATGGGATTCAGCTTTGGTTTTCATGGCCTAGGTACCACGGGAGCTCAGAAATCACTTTATTCCCGGAGAATCTTATTCCCAGGTGGGCTTTCTTTTTGACACCCTAAAGCCTGATGGGTTCTTACCTTGGATGACCAAAGACGCCTTCTGCACCAGCATCCCTGCCTCATTCTGCGCGAGGCAGCTGAATTCCCCTTGAGAACCACCACTGAGATTTGCAACCTGAAGGATCTGTCCAGATGCCAGGATGTGATGTGTCAGTCCTGTGGTGGTGGCAATTGGTTGACCACTATGGAACCAGGTGATATTGGGGGTGGGATAGCCTTTGATAGGGCAGCCTGGAGGAAGAGATGAGAGGAGAAATAAGCCATTGGCAAAGCCTGAAAAAGACACATTTCTGGAGAGTTGTTTTGTGTCTTTATGGCTCTAGAAGGCTTACACATACTGTGGTTTTACCCCTGGCACTTATCTTATGTTAGCCATTCCTAACAAACAGGAGATATTTTTATTATGTGGGCTTCTGGAAGAGTGATTCTTATTCATTAAATTTTACAAAAATTCTTAGATCTGTTTATGCCCCTGTACTAATTGGTAAGAAAAAAATGATAAAATTAGCATTCATTATTGCATAGTTTTTCAAATTAGCTTCTATGCTGATTTTTATTAAGAAATTGCTTCTTCAAATGTAATACATTGGAAAATAACATACTACATGGTAACAGTTAAGAATCAAGTATTAATTGGTAAAAGTCTAACATCTGCCTTCATTTTACTCTTTATATGATTTTTGAAGTAAAAAATCTTCACCTGAGACTAGGAAAATTATTTTAAACATTGATCTAATTTCTTCATGAAGAACTTTTTTTGATAACTTTTATCCTCAATTGAATATATACAGTATTATAGTTATCTACTCATTAAACATATTTTGATACATTAAAATTCCAAAATATTAAGCTGAGACATTGGGTCTACCCAAGCCTTTGTATCCCAGAATTGGAAAGATAAACAGATGGCCACTATGAGAGAAAACACATTTCATCTAAATTTGGAGTACTTGCCAAATTCACTGGTGGGACCCCAGTGACTTAGCTCCCATAGAATATTTATTGGAAGTTTAAAATATGAGAAATCATTAAAAATAAAGATACTGTGGAGGTCTTTCCTCAGTTTAGTTAGGAAAAAATGTCTATTTTCTACTTATTACTCTCGGGACAGTTAAGATAGTTAAGACTACCAAGAAGATCCCAGCTAATGTAGGATTTTTAAAAAAGCACACTAAAGCCTCTCTGAAACTTTTCAGGGTGAAGCTCAGCTTTTCAGAAAGTTTTAGAAAAGAAACCTGAGACCTGTGACCGACCAGCAGAACAGGCCCAGCGGCCCGCCGGCGTGGTAGACACATCACCCCAATTGGAGGAGGGGCAGAGCAGAGCCTCCGCCCGCTGCCTGCGCCTGCAAGGTAGGCAGACCTGCGACTGACTGGCAGGACAGGCCCAGCAGCCCGCCAGCGTGGTAGACACATAACCCCTATTGGAGGATGGGCTCAGCCGTTGCCCGCAAGGTAGGCAGACCACGCGACCTGGAGAAGGGGCCCAGCGGCCCGCCGGCGGGATAGACAGATCACCCCAATTGGAGGAGGAGCACAGCCGCCGCCTGCCCCTGCAAGGGAGACTTTGCAACTATACAAGAGCAATATAAATATATAGGGGGGAAATTCAAGAACACAACAGTTTCACCAAGCAGAAAGAAACGTGAGCAGTATGAAAAGACAAGGAAAGAAAGGACCACAAGCAATGCAGTTCAACTCAACCTTAGAAGAGGTAATAGCTGCAGCAGATGGAATGTCAGATAAAGAATTCAGGATTTACATGCTTCAGATGATCTGGAGTCTCAAGGAAGACATTAGACAGCAAAATCAGACAATGAAAGATCACTTCAACAATGAATTACATAAACAAATCCAAGAAGCAAAAGATCAACTATACAGGGAGATAGAGGTTATAAAAAACAAACAAACAGAAATTCTAGAAATGCAGGAAGCAATAAACCAACTTAAAAACTCAAATGAGAATACTACCAGCAAAGTAGAACACTTAGAAGATAGAACATCAGACAATGAAGACAAAGTATTTCAACTTGAAAAGAACACAGATAGCTCAGCGAGACTCTTAAGAAACCATGAGCAGAACATCCAAGAAATATGGGATAACATAAAGAGACCAAACTTAAGAGTCATTGGGATACAGGAAGGTATAGAGGTCCAAACCAAAGGAATGAGTAATCTGTTCAATGAAATAATACGAGAAAACTTCCCAGACTTGAAGAATGAGACAGAATCCCAAATCCTAGAAGCCTACAGGACGCCGAATGTGCAAAATCATAAGAGATCCACACCTAGGCACATTATAATGAAGATGCCCAACATACAGAATAAGGAGAGAATTTTAAAAGCTTCAAGAAAAAGGAAGCAGATTACATTTAGGGGTAAACCAATCAGGATAACAGCTGATCTTTCAACACAGACTCTGAAAGCTAGAAGATCCTGGAACAACATATTTCAAACGCTGAAAGATAATGGGTTCCAACCAAGAATTGTGTATCCAGCAAAATTAAGCTTCAGGATGGAAGATGAAATTAAAACCTTCCACGATAAACAACAGCTAAAAGAATTTGCAGCTAGAAAACCATCTCTTCAAAACATCCTTGGCAAAACATTACAGGAAGAGGAAATGGAAAATAACGATGAAAACCAACAGTGGGAGGTAGTACAGTAAAGGGAAAAAATAATCAAAGAGGAAAAACAAACCATGTTAAGTAACATAAATAAACAAATATGGCTGGAAGAACAATCCATATCTCAATAATAACCCTAAATGTTAATGGCTTAAACTCACCAATTAAGAGACACAGGCTAGTAGAGTGGATCAAAAACAAACAAACAAAAAAAAAGATCCAACAATATGCTGCCTACAGGAGACGCATTTGATAGGAAAAGACATACATAAACTGAAGGTGAAAGGTTGGGAAAAATCATATTACTCATATGGTCTTCGGAAACAAGCAGGAGTGTCCATACTCATATCAAATAAAATAGATTTCAAGCCAAAGTTAATTAAAAGGGATAAAGAGGGACACTACATACTGCTCAAGGGAACCATACACCAACAAGACATAACAATCATAAATATATATGCTCCAAAAAATGGTGCAGCTATGTTCATCAAACAAACTCTTCTCAAGTTCAAGCGTCTAATAGACCATCATACAATAATTATGGGAGACTTCAACACATCTCTCTCACCACTGGACAGATCTTCCAAACAAAAGTTGAATAAAGAAACTATAGAACTCAATAATACAATTAATAACCTAGACTTAATTGACATATATAGAATATACCACCCAACATCAAGCAGTTACACATTTTTTCTCAGCAGCACATGGATCCTTCTCAAAAATAGATCATATATTATGTCATAGGGCAACTCTTAGACATTATAAAGGAGTAGAGATAATACCATGCATCTTATCTGATCATAATGGAATGAAACTGGAAATCAACAATAAAAGAAGGAAGGAAAAATCATGCATCACTTGGAGAATGAACAATAGGTTACTGAATGATCAATGGGTTATAGAAGACATCAAGGAGGAAATTAAAAAATTCTTAGAGATAAATGAAAACACAGACACAACATATCAGAATCTAAGGGACACAATGAAAGCAGTTCTAAGAGGAAAATTCATTGCCTGGAGTTCATTCCTTAAAAAAAAGGAAAAACCAACAAATAAATGATCTCACACTTCATCTCAAAATCCTAGAAAAAGAAGAGCAAAACAGCAGCAAAAGAAGTAGAAGGCAAGAAATAATTAAAATCAGAGCTGAAATTAATGAAATCGAAACAAAAGAAACAATTGAAAAAATTGACAAAACTAAAAGTTGGTTCTTTGAAAAAATAAATAAGATTGACAGACCCTTAGCCATGCTAATGAAGAGAAGAAGAGAGAGAACTCAAATTACTAGCATATGGGATGAAAAAGGCAATATCACAACAGACACTTCAGAAATACAGAAGATAATTAGAAATTATTTTGAATCCTTATACTCCAATAAAATAGAAGATAGTGAAGGCATGGATAAATTTCTTAAGTCATATGATCTACCCAGATTGAGTAAGGCGGATATAAACAATCTAAGCAGACCAATATCAATTGAGGAAATAGAAGAAGCCATCAAAATACTACCAACTAAGAAAAGCCCAGGACCGGATGGATATACAGTAGAGTTTTACAAAACCTTTAAAGAAGAACTAATACCAATACTTTTCAAGCTATTCCAGGAAATAGAAAAAGAGGGAGAACTTCCAAATTCTTTCTATGAGGCCAACATCACCCTGATTCCTAAACCAGACAAAGACACTTCAAAGAAAGAAAACTACAGACCAATATCTCTATTGAATCTAGATGCAAAAATCCTCAATAAAATTCTGGCGAATCGGATACAAAAACATAGCAAAAAAATTGTGCACCATGATCAAGTAGGATTCATCCCTGGGATGCAAGGCTGGTTCAATATGCGGAAATCAATAAATGTTATTCACCACAACAATAGACTTAAAGATAAGAACCATATGATTATCTTGAGAGATACAGAAAAAGCATTTGACAAAGTATAGCATCCCTTTATGTTCAAAACTCTAGAAAAACTAGGGATAACAGGAACATACCTCAATATTGTAAAAGCAATCTATGCTAAGCCTCAGGCTAGCATCATTCTGAATGGAGAAAAATTGAAGGCATTCCCTCTAAAATCTGGAACAAGACAGGGATGCCCTCTCTCACCACTTCTGTTCAACATAGTTCTTGAAACACTGGCCAGAGCAATTAGACAGACGAAAGAAATTAAAGGCATAAAAATAGGAAAAGAAGAACTTAAATTATCACTATTTTCAGATGACATGATTCTATACCTAGCAGACCCAAAAGGGTCTACAAAGAAACTATTAGAGCTAATAAATGAATTCAGCAAAGTGGCAGGATATAAAATTAACACGCATAAATCAAAGGCATTCCTGTATATCAGCGACAAATCCTCTGAAATGGAAATGAGGACAACCACTCCATTCACAATATCCTCAAAAAAAATAAAATACTTGGGAATCAACCTAACAAAAGAGGTGAAAGACTTATACAATGAAAACTACAGAACCCTAAAGAGAGAAATAGAAGAAGATCTTAGAAGATGGAAAAATATTCCCAGTTCATGGATAGGCAGAACTAACATCATCAAAATGGCGATATTACCAAAAGTTCTCTATAGGTTTAATGCAATGCCAAT